CTGGAGCTCACTTGGTAGCCCAGGCTGGCCTCGAACTCACAGAGATCCGCCTGGCTCTGCCTCCCGAGTGCTGGGATTAAAGGCGGTGGTGGCGCACGCCTTTAATCCCAGCACTCAGGAATCAGTTTTACATGGCTGTGATTAGTTGTTCTGCTTACAAATTACTGAGGTTCGTTTTCTGACGCCATTGTTCAGATTTTCCTTTAATGTTTTTATTCAGCTCTTATCACCTGTTCTAGTTCTGTGATACATACCCCGAATAAAAAAGCAGCTTAGGGGAGAAAGGGTTTATTTTAGCTTTGTCTAGGACTGAGGTCTCCTGAGCTTCCTACCTTCCACATTAGCATGGCTATTGCTGTTGTCCTTGCTCTGGTCTTGTTTAGGCAGCCATGTTGGTGAGAATTTGTGGGTGTAGCTTCTCTGACGTTTCTAGGAGACACGATCCCGCAGCAAACTTCCTGTTACTCTGGCCCTTACAATGTTTCCATCCTCTCTTTTGCAAGGACCCCTAAGCCTTACGCGTGGGAGTTGTAGATGTATCAATTGAGTGAGCTCCACAACTCTGAATCTTAATCGACTGTGGTTTTCTGTAGTGGTCTCCATCTGTTGCAGAGAGAAGTTTCTGTCATGAGGCACAAGCACCACACTCATCTGGGGGTATAAGGACAAAACGTTAGAACATAGTTAGGGATTATGCTGGTTTAGTAACGCTCGAGGAGGGGAGGATCAAGCGGACCCCCCTGGCTAGACCCTGGAGAAGGTGGTGACGACGAATGACTTTCTAAATGTTAATTTTAGATAAGTTGAATTTGTAGACTAATTGAACCCTCTATGATGGGTTGAAAAAGTGAGATCATTTCCCCCTTGGGGCACTGCATCTTCTAAAGCAACCATGATTCAGCGTTGCTTGCCATTATCATTGACTACCAGCAGAGGGCGATGTATGTCCAGACAACAGATTCAGTTATAACAGTTCAACAGTACACTCCGGAGAGCTTGCCAGAAACACATGAGCAGACAGTAGACAGAAGATAAAAATTGTACACAGATAAATGAACCAGTGATAAAAAGGTGAATTCTGATCGGATATTTTAATGCATTTATAACAAAGCTTTTTAATCAAGTTACTAATTAAGATCCACTACACCATTTTTTTTTTACCAGCAACTGTATGTCAAAATTAACACCACAGAAACCAGTATTTACTACATTTAATAATATCCACAAGTTAACCCTTTATCTCATAGGAAGCTAATTTTCCAAAGTGTTGAATATTAAATTTCCAAGTCTAATTGAATGTTTTAGGAGGAACATAATACAAAGCTTGTGTTCTTTTCAACATCAGAAAGGAAGTCTCTGGAGTCTAGTGTCAGCCCCTGAATGTTGGTGTGCGCTGGACCCGATACCCAGGAGGTCGTGTGGGTTCTGCTCTCACATGAAAGGGATTATTAGTACCTTTATAAATGGGGTGGAGGCAGGAAGTGCCCTGGCTTCCATCCATCACCAGAGGGCCCAGCAAGAAAGCTGGGACACAGAATCTCCTGGAGTCCTGATCTTGTTTTTTAGCATGGTTTGTATTAACTGTTTGGTTGCTGTGGCAAAATATGGAACCAAATCTACTTAAGGAAAGAAGGATTCATTTTGGCTCACAGGCAGTCAAGGGCACAGTCTCTCACATCAGGGAAGTTGTAGCAGCAGGAGCTTGAGGCGGCTGGTCACATTGTACCTGCAGTCAGGGCCAGAGAGAATGTTAGCACTCAGCACACTTTCTCCTTTATAGTCAGCCTAGGAGCCCTGTCCAAAGAATGGCACTGCCCAGAGCTTGTGGGTCTTCCAACTTCAGTAACCTTGATCTCCACAATCCTTCACGGGTATGTCCAGGTACAAACCAAATCCAGAAATACCCTCACAGGTACACTCAAGGGGCTCTCTCCTAGGAAATTCTCTACAAACTCATGTTCAATCTCTAATGCCTAGTACCACAGAATACAATATTTGGCAGTAGAAACTTTAGCGATTGTAGCAGGAATCTTAGTCTTATTAATGAAATCAAACCTGAGGCCAGTTATTATGGTGAATACTGGAAGATCAGAGAGACAGAACAAGCCACAGCTAACCTCACCTGGCCAACTTCTCAGCTGATCTTGTTTCCTCAGACTGGAAGCCTCTGAGTCCTCATCCAGAATGAATCTCAGCTGAACTGTTGCTCTAAAGCCTGGAAGCTTAACCAGCCAAATGATTCTAGGTTCTGGTCCTCACGCCTTATATACCTTTCTGCTTTCTACCACCACTCCCTGGGATTAAAGGCTTGCTTTCTGGGATTAAAGGCATGAATTACCATGCCTGGCTGTTTCCAATGTGGCCTTGAACTCAGATCCAGAGGGATTTCTGCATCTGGAATGCTAGGATTACGGGCGTGAGTGCCAACATTTTCTAGCCTAAATATCTAGTGGCTTTGGCCAGGCGGTGGTGGCACACGCCTTTAATCCCAGCACTCGGGAGGCAGAGCCAGGTGGATCTCTGTGAGTTCGGGGCCAGCCTGGTCTCCAAAGCGAGTTCCAGGAAAGGCGCAAAGCTACACAGAGAAACCCTGTCTCAAGCCCCCGCCCCCCCCCCCAAAAAAATCTAGTGGCTTTTTTGTTCTCTGACTCCAGATAAGTTTATTAGGGTACACAATATTTTGGGGAACACAATACCACCACAAGAGATAATTAAGGTTAAATGCTACGGTGAGTTGGTCATACAGTGAGTCTCTTGTCCTTGTAAAATAAAATGAGACTTAGGACAGCAGGCATGTGTGCGTTGGAGAGGCACCACGTGGGGAACACAGGCAGAAGTGGCCGTCTGCAAATGTGTCTGAAGAGTGCAATAGCCAGCAGCCTTGACCTTGGATTTGCAGTGTTCAGAGATGTGAAGAAAAACAAGTCAGTTAAAATATCCAGGCTGCAGCCGGGCGTTGGTGGCGCACGCCTTTAATCCCAGCACTTGGGAGGCAGAGCCAGGCGGATCTCTGTGAGTTTGAGGCCAGCCTGGGTTATCAAGTGAGCTCCAGGAAAGGCACAAAGCTACACAGAGAAACCCTGTCTCCAAAAACCAAAAACCAAAAAAAAAAAAAAAAAAAAAAAAAAAAAAAAATCCAGGCTGTAGTGTATTGGCAGCTCTGGTAAAAACTGTATTCTGTGTGATCACTGACTATTCCTGCAGGTCTCACATACTGAGGGAACTGGAAACAGGAAAAGGAGCTTGGTGGATGTTTCTGCCCCCTGTCTCCTTTGCTACCTTAAATCTTTGAGTTGGATTCCTGTTCAACTACATATGTTGACACCAATTCATTTAAGAAACATTCAGAGCTTACAGGGTTGTAATAATCAATAGAGCATCAGCTGCCAGCTTCAATGTCCTGTTCCAGATTGCCAAAATGGCACTCAGAAGTCACCAGTTGTAGGTTGCCCTAACCTAAAGAAGGCCCTCTGGACCTTGGCCTTTCCTCAGAGTCATCTCTTACAGATGCTTAGAATTTTAGGAGCAGCCAGGTGGATGGACCCTCCTCTGGGGAGGATACCCGAAGCCACCCAGGCAGCATTTTTCTTATTACTGAGGAGGACCCCAGATCTCGAGCTGCTGATCAATCAGATCTTGATCAAGACTATCTGATGATGCATATGTCTTGCTCCCAGATTCTCTCCTTCCCACGTGTAACTCCAAAGCTCTTGTTAGAGCCTCAAAGACAGGACTGAGGACATTTGATTCCCTGATCCTCCCCAGTATGGCTGCAGAGAGTTAATTCCATTCCTACTTAACCATTACTCTTTACGTTTGATTCCTAGAAGGAATAGCTACATCTGTTGGGACCTTTTCCCCCACCACTACCCCTAATCAGGTTCCCCTGACATAGAAATCTCATGGCAACACGAGATAGAGCATTTCTCTCTTATGTATGGAAAAAATGCTTTGATTCTAGTCTCCATGTACTAAACAGTCTTATTCCTCACTAATGTATCACATTGTCCCACACAGAAAAGTTCTCTCCAGATGGGGATCTACCATTAAACTCCTTGTTCTATCTCTTTGGTAAGTTTGTCTAATTAAATAATTTAGCAGCTTTCTTGCTACAAATTCATCATAAGGCTGCAAGGTTGTTCTCTTTTCCTTCTTGTTGAAAGGTGATTTTGCTTTTTGATCTTTTAAAGTGGTTATCAGTTTGTCAGGTTTTTTTCACAAGAAGCTCATTGGGATTTTGTCATTGAAATCTGCATTCAGACCATAGATCTACAGAGAAATGTTTTGTAATTAGAGATTTATCACCAGTAGAAAGTAGTTTTGTTATATGTGCTACACTTTTGATTCTGTCCACACGGTGGCGCTACTATAAAGAAAATCTGTCTTTCCCAGTTGGCAAGGAGAGCCAGCCCGAAGACTCAGCGTTGGTATTTTTACTAAATGCCTGCACATTTTTTGGAAGACAGAACTGAATTTCACATGGGATGGTCAACAGTCTACCAGATGCTAAAGTATCCCCGATAAAAAGATTTAACAGTCTATGATACAAAATTGAAATTAAAAAGTCTTAGATATTTTTTCTTCTGTCTTTTAATCCTAAAACGTGAACACACATGCACACAGGGATTAGTGCAAAACTATTTCTGGGAAAAAGAGGGCGGTCTCCAACAAAGCCAGCAGACTCGCTCAGTTGCCTTGCACAAGGCTGGAGAGCAAAGGTCATACCAAGTTTATGAATAAAGGTGGTGGGGGATTGTGTAATTCTGCGCTTCCACTTCCAGCCCCGCCTCTTATTCAAGCCTGGGATAATCTTGGGTTAAAGTCCTACTGTACCTTTTGAAAAAACATGCCTGGGCTTGCAGTGAGCTAAAGCAAGAAAAGGGAAAGTGATGAGAGACTTGCCTTGTCTACTCTGCAGAGTCCAGGAGAAGAGGGAAATGCCTGTAACTGTTGATTGATACTAGAGCTCCCAATGTTTGAGAGTGGCCTGGAGGGAGACCCAGTTTTCCCTTATTAATCTGGAATTATGTGTCACTGGGTCCCATACGAAATAACTGCTGATGTTCCAAGTGAGCTGAGACAAATGGATGGACATGTAGTTGACCTTACATAACTTGGTGGTTCTATGAAAAATTTATTGATAATAGCTATTTAGATTGTCTGGGATCCAGTTTCTATACCCGTAAGATGGGGGAAATGTAGATGAGACCACGTCACTTCAATATGTCCATAGGAAACCAAAACATGTCACCCTAAATATACCTCTGAGTCAGGATAATTTTGAGCTGAATGAAAAAGTAGACAGACACAGAAGCCCCGAAAGTGGCATACTGCTCTTTTGTAAGGAAAGAAAAAAACATTAAACAGTAATCTCAATTTCTAAAAATGTCTCCTGTACCAGAAAAAGACTCTAAATAACAAGTTTATCAGTGAAAAAACAAACAAAAACAAAAACAAAAATCCAAGCCTCACCCCTATTTACTCCATTGTTTATAAATGCCTTCTCTTTCTCCTGTCTTCTTCACACTCTCGTGCTGGTTTAAGATTCAAACCTCAGTTCTAAGCCACCCGCCTCTTAGGGCACTCATTTCGCTGTTTATCTTCCATGTGTAGGGAAAAAAAACAAAAACAAAAAACAACAACAACAAAAAAAACACTTGTGTTTCTGTGGTTAATCTGCCCTGCTGGAGGAACCACACGTATAATTTAGAAAGGTAGAAGGAATATTATTTCCCTCCCCTAACACGGCAGTATTTTTCATTCAGAATTGTATTAAGATGACAATAGGCATTTCAAAATAGCTAGGAGCGTTTAATACAGTGCTTCAAAAATAATGAACAGTACTCCATAAGCGCCCGCACCATTGCCATCAGAACAAGAGAAAAAAGGGCATGCCTCGGCGTTGTTAGAACTGAACAGAAAATTCCAAGCTTGTTAACAGCCACTCAGAGATGCCCATGTTCTCCCCTTCACCCAACGGGGAGGTGGGGGGCTTGGATGGACTCTATACGCGCGAGGGCGGTGACATCGCTTAGGGAGCCATTTGATCCACGCAATTTGAATCACCCACTTGGAACAAGAAGTCATAGATGACTTCAGTTGTGAAATCATAATTAGCCCATTTTCAACGCCGCTGTCAAAGCCCATATTGTTGCTAACCACGGCCCACTCAGACCGTTAATCGCTTTTCTGAAAAAATTCCACAGGATGGCGCTCTTGCTTTCCGATGGTTAGCCTAGCAGTTGCGTACCAACCCTTCGCTGGTCTTCAGGCCCCCATCCAAGGTTAAGGGGCTGACCTTTGACGGGGGGGGGGGGTCACTCAGTAGGCGATGGAAAGAGGCGGCAGGGGGCTCAGATGCTCCCACGCCACCGCAGATCACCCCGATCTGCGACCGGGATTGCGCCCAGTTCTACAGCGGCTCTGATCCAGCCCAGTGCCCGGTTCTGCGGGCCCAGCCACTTAGCTGCCCGGTCCACGGAGCCCTAGAGAGGCTCGAAAGAGCCCCGCTGTGGCGGGGGTGACCCCCCAAGCGCTCCGGGTCTCGGGGTGCCGGTCCGCATGGCTCGCTGATTGACACCGGTGTCGGATCGCTCCCCCAGCCGATCGCCACCCAGCATTCCCGCCCAGCCAGGGACCCGACAGGGCGTCCACCCTTGGGGTTTCTGTTTTCCACATCCAAGGTCAGGGCGTGCGAAGAACCTGGGACACTTCGCCCACCGCCACCTCGCAAGCCGGGTCGAAGCCCGGGGCAGCCACGCGGCCCAACCCGCCCCGAGCCACGGCGCTGGCTCCAGAGCCGGGGGGCGGGGCGTTCTCCGCGACGTCACGAGGCCCCGCCCCAGCCAGCCGGCGCTTATAAAGCTGCGCGGCTCGCTCTGGCTCGCACAAGCGAAGCAGGACGACAGAGGAGCCGGTCGGCTGAGGGACTGGGGCTAGAGAACCAGGGCTAGCCCGGACGGACGCGTGTCCCGTGCCGTGTCCCGTGCCTCGGGTAGGGGGGTGGCAGCAGGCAGTCAGTGTCTCGGGTGGCGGGGCCACGATGGAACTCCTGCGGACTATCACCTACCAGCCCGCCGCTGGCACCAAGATGTGCGAGCAGGCGCTGGGCAAAGCTTGCGGCGGGGACTCGAAGAAGAAGCGACCGCAGCAGCCCTCTGAAGACGGGCAGCCCCAGGCCCAGGTGACCCCGGCGGCCCCGCACCACCATCACCACCACTCTCACTCGGGACCCGAGATCTCGCGGATTATTGTCGACCCCACGACGGGGAAGCGCTACTGCCGGGGCAAAGTGCTGGGCAAGGTGAGTGTCCGGCTGCGTGGCGGCGGGAGGGCGAGCTGCCCGGGCAAGTCGAGCAGCCAGGGACCCTGAGCTCGCGCTTTCTCGCTCCCTTGGCTGTCTGGTCCCCCGCAACGTGGGCCCCTCACCTGCTCTCCCGGGCTTCCGTGCCGGGGATCGGCTTTGCATCCTCAGCCTAGGCTTTCAGAGGACTGAGGGCGTTCTAAGTCAGCCCCAGCTCTCACCTCCTGATCCCGGGGGAACTTGCCTGTCACCTCTCTTGAGAGGCTGTTTTCCACCTTTACCCCTTCGACTACCCTCTCCGTAGAGCTCTCCTTTGTAAAAGGGAGACGAGAAGCTAGACTGGTTTCCAGGAACATGTTTCCCTTCCCGAAGGACCATTTTTAGAAAGCAGATTGCATCCCTCGGCCCACCCCTGTGTTCCCCATTTTTTTTTTTTTTTTTGCTTTTTCTTTCCATTTATGTATTCATTTATTTTAAACGTTGGCCCTCCATTTTCTTGTCATGCTCAATTCCATCTGGGCTTTGTTTCCTCTCAGGGTGGCTTTGCAAAGTGTTACGAAATGACAGATCTGACAAACAACAAAGTCTACGCTGCAAAAATTATTCCTCACAGCCGAGTAGCTAAACCTCATCAAAGGGAAAAGGTGTGTATGACTGTTGAGTAAAGTATTTTCTTTGTGTGCTGGGATGGCCCTACCCTATTAGAAAAATGTCTTCTGCGTGTGTAAGCACCGCCTTTCCAGAGATGTTGGGAGGCTCATAAGCCTTATCTTGCTTGTTCTTTTTTTCTTAGATCGACAAAGAAATAGAGCTCCACAGAATCCTGCATCATAAGCATGTGGTGCAGTTTTACCACTACTTTGAAGACAAAGAAAACATTTACATTCTCTTGGAGTACTGCAGCCGAAGAGTAAGTGTTAACTCCCCGGGTCAGTGCACTCTGGAACAGAAAGCTGATGTGGTGTTTGGATTACATTTTTATCTGGGGTTTTAGCTATGACAGTTAATTCTCCCACCATGTCAGCCTGCATCACTAGTCCAGCAAAGAGAAGCCTGATTTGGATAACTCTGTCTGACAAATTCTCTTTTACCCCACCTTCTCTTCCTAGTCCATGGCTCATATCTTGAAAGCGAGAAAGGTGTTGACGGAGCCAGAAGTCCGATACTACCTCAGGCAGATTGTGTCAGGACTCAAGTACCTTCATGAACAAGAGATCTTGCACAGAGATCTGAAGCTAGGTAAGCCCTCTACTGCAGAAGCTGGGGGAGAGGTAGAGAGAGGGTTTTTTTTCCCCATCACCTCTGGGATCTTTTGAATGGGTGACTTCAGTGGTGGATGTTGGCCTCCAAAGAAGCACCTCTCCAAGGGAGTTCACATTTCATTTTTTTTTTTTTTCTGTCTCCCAGGGAACTTTTTTATTAACGAAGCCATGGAACTGAAGGTTGGAGACTTTGGTTTGGCAGCCAGACTGGAACCATTGGAACACAGGAGGAGGTGAGAGTCATGTCCTCCCTAGGTTTTGGGGAGACCAAATCCACCTTTATTATGTTCCAGTAGCTACTCCATAGAAAGTTAGTTCACGCTAAAATCTGTGAACCACAGCAGTGTTGCTGAAGCAAGTGTCCACTATGAGTTAGGGTAACTTACACCTTGAAACTGATTATTAAGGCAATCAGATGTTTTATTTTGCCTTCTAAACCATCTGGTTTCGGTTTGGTTAAAAACACTTGGTCATATGGGCTGAGAAAATTGTACACACATTAGAAGCTTCTCAAAAGAAACTTGGTCAAATAAAAACACTAAAAGATGGTCAAGTAGAAATTCAGCATAAAACTTGAAGATTTTACTTCCAGTCGAGTTACTCCCAGAGAATAAGTTTAATGAATGCAATAGTTCCTAATGAGATCTTGCTATATTCTGTCTCTTCAGAACAATATGTGGTACCCCAAATTATCTCTCCCCCGAAGTCCTCAACAAACAAGGACATGGCTGTGAATCCGACATCTGGGCCTTAGGCTGTGTAATGTAAGTAAACGCACCAGGATGTCTAAAAAGCAAATTTGACTCAGTCGTGATACCCAAGAAGAGTTCCTTTTTGACCGTTTCTGAAGATGTGTTTCTGTGTACCCAGGTACACAATGCTGCTAGGAAGGCCTCCATTCGAAACCACAAACCTGAAAGAAACGTACAGGTGCATAAGGGAAGCAAGGTATACGATGCCGTCTTCATTACTGGCCCCGGCTAAGCACTTGATAGCTAGCATGCTGTCCAAAAACCCAGAGGACCGCCCCAGTTTGGATGACATCATTAGGCATGATTTCTTTTTACAGGTCAGTGCACTCTTGACCTCTCTCTCTAATTGCATGCCGTTGCCCCGATGGCTGGAGAGGTTTCTGAAGCTCTCTTCTGCTTCCGCAGGGCTTCACCCCAGACAGGCTGTCTTCCAGCTGTTGCCATACAGTTCCAGACTTCCACTTATCAAGTCCAGCTAAGAATTTCTTCAAGAAAGCCGCTGCTGCTCTTTTTGGTGGCAAAAAAGACAAAGCAAGATATAACGACACACACAGTAAGTTTTCAGACTTCTCCTCCCTTTCTGTGCCCAAGATTACCCTTCAATTTGATGACTGAGTTGAGACTTTACTGTTAGCGTGGTCTCACCAGTATATTTGTACACAGATGCCTTTTGACACTAACAGCGTGGTAAATGCACAGCCACGACTGATTGATAGCCTCTGTTTCCTAAACACTGACGTGTGCTGCGCCTATAATTGCAGCTGATGGCAAGGATGAAAATAGCTGTTTCTGCTTTGAATGCCCAGAAGATATGGAGCTAGCTCCATCCCAGCTTCATGGGGAGAGATTAACGTGTGCAATTCTTTTCTTCCATTTACAGATAAAGTGTCCAAAGAAGATGAAGACATTTACAAGCTTAGACATGATTTGAAAAAGACTTCAATAACCCAGCAACCCAGCAAACACAGAACAGATGAGGTATGTTGGGGGAAAAACTTAAGTAAATAGACATTTTAGGTCATTTCCATTCTGGGCTAATCAGCATTTTGATGATGACTGGGGCTGAAGCAAGCAATGCTTCCTTCCAGTCACGGTCCTGCAGTAGCTTTCTCTGGCTTATGGCTGTAGCTTTTTGATAAGCTTTAACAGTAATTACCATAATCTCATTTTAACCCGATATTTCCAATATAAATAGACTTCATTCCTTGACTCATTTGTATGGCTCTCTTCTTGCCCTTTCCAGGAGCTCCAGCCGCCTCCCACTACAGTTGCCAGATCTGGAACATCCGCAGTGGAAAACAAGCAGCAGATTGGGGATACGATCCGGATGATCGTCAGAGGGACTCTTGGCAGCTGCAGCAGCAGCAGTGAATGTAAGTGGCCAGAGCCATATTTTAAATAAACGGTCAGGCTAGTGCTATAGACTAAGTCACCGGAGTCAGTTTTGTAATCTAACTTAACACAGAAACAAAACGATAGACTTGGAGAAGGGACATTGCGTAACCTTGACTTCTGTGTCTTTCAAATTAGTGGAGGGGAAACGTCATTTCCAGAACTTGGTGTAAACAATGTCATCATTTCCGTTCCTGTGACTTCCCAGGCCTTGAAGATAGTACCATGGGAAGTGTTGCAGACACAGTGGCAAGAGTCCTTCGAGGATGTCTAGAAAACATGCCAGAAGCCGACTGTATTCCCAAAGAGCAGCTGAGCACGTCCTTTCAGTGGGTCACCAAATGGGTCGATTACTCCAACAAATACGGCTTTGGGTACCAGCTCTCAGACCACACTGTTGGAGTCCTTTTCAACAATGGCGCCCACATGAGCCTCCTTCCAGACAAAAAGTAAGCATGTCTGATGAATGCAATCTGCCAGTTCTCTGCTGTTGCACTAATGAAACCTGGAAACAGTGATTAACTGCTCCTAATTTTCCTTTTCTCTCCTTCCTGGTTTTTAGGACAGTTCACTATTATGCAGAACTTGGCCAATGTTCTGTTTTCCCAGCAACAGATGCCCCTGAACAATTTATTAGTCAAGTGACGGTGCTGAAATACTTTTCTCATTACATGGAGGAGAACCTCATGGATGTAAGTACCGTGGCTTTGGAGCGGAGATATTTGAAGCAGTCTAGATCCATTAGCATCTGCATCCATTTGAAGTTTGTGTAGTTCAGATTCTCATGTCTTATCTTAGAGGCAGTGAGTCAGAGTCTCTGTGAGGCAGAGCCAGGAATCTTGAGGCCATTCTGAGGCTTAAGCTTTGAGAGGCACTGTGTGATGCCCACACTGTACAGCTTCACAGGCACTAACTGTTTCTCCTGACTCTCTCCAGGGTGGCGATCTCCCTAGTGTTACTGATATTCGAAGACCTCGGCTCTACCTCCTCCAGTGGTTAAAATCTGATAAAGCCTTAATGATGCTCTTCAATGACGGCACATTTCAGGTAACCGAGCCTTTCATGGAGGCACACGTTTTAGGTCCTGAAACCTTTTTCTCCCTAGCTGATTTAAGCTTTGGCAGAACCTTTATTACTTCTTGAGGATTGAGCAAGCCCTAATAATGTCTGTGTTCATTTTTAAAGGTGAACTTCTACCATGATCATACAAAAATAATCATCTGTAACCAAAACGAAGAGTACCTTCTCACGTACATCAATGAGGACAGGATATCTACAACCTTCAGACTGACAACTCTGTTGATGTCTGGCTGTTCGTTAGAACTGAAAAACCGTATGGAATATGCCCTGAACATGCTCTTACAGAGATGTAACTGAAGACCCTTTTGAGTGGACCCTATGGGACTCTTTTCCACTGTGAGATCAACAGGGAAGCCAGCGGAGGGATACAGAGCATGTTGACGATGGACAAGTGGTGGTACGACTCCTCCAGTTCCTCAGTGGCCCGCTGGACTGCTGGAACCAGACCAGCCTAAGGTGTACAGTTAACTTTGGACAATCCACGAGTGGCGCCGGCTGCAGTTTTCCTTGAAGTACCTGTCTTTCAAAGGTCTATCGGACAATTTTGCAGAAAGATGCATTGACTCTTACGTTCTCTCTGTGGAGAGTGTTTCAGCCAGAGGACTTGGAACTGTGAATATACTTCCTGAAGGGGAGGGAGAAAGGGAGGATGCTCCCTTGTTGTTTAAAGGCTACAATCAGAGCAGCTTTTGGCTGCTTAACTGTGAACTATGGCCATATATAATTTTTTTTTTTTGGTTATTTTTGAATACACTTGTGGCTGGAAAAAATGCATTCCTTGTTAATAAACGTTTTATTTATTACAGCCCCAAGAGCAGTATTTATTATCAAGATATTCTTTTTTTTATGTTGACCATTTTGAACTCTTGGCAATAAAGAGTATAAAAATAAAAGCAATGGCTCCTCTCCTTACTCCATTGCAGCACTGTACCATCACAGCCTGTGAACACGGGTTCCTGACACTTCAGCACACATCAAACACACAAACCAACTAGAAAGGTCTTGACATTCCCTAGTGACACTTTCTAGGAAGTGTCTTTGATGTCATAATTACGACTATGGACTTTCTGAGTGGACCTAACTTGAGGACAGTATAACAGAGGTTATCACTTTTTACCACTCCCCCTCCCCCAATATTGGACTCCTGCTAAAACCCCAAACCACTTTGTCTCTAAACTAGTTCCTCAACAATCATTTAACCTAGAACTGAAAAGCATCGTAATCCTGTGCAAACAGACGTCTCACTACTAAGTGAGTCGGTCCAGGAGCTTTCCCTTAATATGGGCAGAACTATGTGTTATAATACATGCGCCACTTGAACTGCGTTACTCAGCTCGAACCTGCCTAAACACTTCCAGCGCCTCTGGCAGTCCTGGTTCATAATTCAGGGGTAGGAAATGTTTTGTTAATAAGTCACCATTTTCTGCTGGTGCACGGAAGTTGAGAGATGTGTGAACCAAACTATGAGTTGGGTCCATCTTTTAACCTACTAAATTATTGAGGAGGCAGATCTAATAAGGTTTTTTTTCTTTCAGTGAAAGGTATAGAGAGAAGCTGTTTTGTCCTGTTACCCTCAATATACAATGACCAGCATAGGATGTTAATCCATTTTGCTGTTGTTCAACTGTGATCACACTACAAGGAAGTATTGTCCTGGGAAAGAAAAGTATTTTGTTTTCTAGAGCTGTTCTCATTGTGATTCTATAAAGGAGAGTGTAGAAATAGATGGTAGTTATCTGTTTATGTTTATCTAAAAAGGTTAGCTTCTGTACCTCATAACACTTTACTAGTGAAAACCAATTTTGGGGGTTGGCTACGGGTACTTCACAAGTGCTCAATAGCCTGTTACTGCCTTGAAGTTTGATATATCCATTTTTTTTTTTTTTGCTAATGACTTAGAGAGCTGACCAAATAAAACTAAGTAACAGATGTGTACAAGTTGAATCTAATTTTATGAGCAGAGAACAAGCAATAGAAAAAATGTTTCTTAGAATTTGACAGTGGAACACTGTATGTTACCCTGAGGTTTCAGAGCATGCTTATTCCCTCTTGTGTTTACTGAGCATCTGCTGTGTGATAAGATATAGACCTTAGTTCACAATGTAGTCAACCCAGGTCTCTTCTTGCCCTGCCGGAAGTCCCAGATTGGCAGAGACAATACATCTGCCTCAGTCCCATAAGTGCTATAGTATTACGCTGAAGGTGTGCACTGGGTCTTATTGATAATGGAGGACAGGAATCATAGGAAAGAGCCCTGAGTATGCGGTGGACTCAGAAACAGATTCCAGAGAAGGAGAACTCTCTTATGAAGAGTTCGTAAGATGTTTGAGGGCTAAATGGAAGTCTGAGGTGCCAAGTAGTTTTAAGCAAGTGAGGTAACATATGAAGCCCAAGACTGAGAGACTTCACAGTGGAAATGTGCCTATGAACTATGGCAGACAGATAATATACCCTGCATGCAGGCTTTGAAGCTGCATCTGGAATGATGTAGTTAGACCTATGGAGAGATTTTTCTCTTTGTTTTGGTTTTTAGTTTCTTTTTTCTTTCGTTTGTTTGTTTGCTTGTTTGTTTTTTTTTAGATGCTAGCTCAAGCTGGCTTGGAACTCAGTATGAAACCTATCTTGGCTGGAAATTTATAATGCTCCTCCTGCCTCAGCCTCATGAAGGCTGGAATCACAAGCATTTGTCGCCAGGCCTGGCTTGCTGAAATTTTAAGGAGAGTAATGTATATTAGATCTACAAAATCTACCCTGGCGGCATAGATGGAATAGGTGAAGAACAGAATAAGGAGCGGGAAGCCAAACAGTGAAGAAATGAGTATCGTGATTTGGGTGAGAAAGGACCAGAGACTTCGTATAAGGAAATAAGTAAGGGGTTAGGGTCTCCCTTGGCCAAGTGGAGAAAAGTGGCTTACTGTGTGTGCGGTGGCAGAAATGGAAAGGATCCTGATAGAGACAGTCTGATGCTGAGAGATGTATAGTGAGTTTAAGATTGTAAATCAGATTCATGCAGAGATATACGGATGTAGGCTCAGAAAGCACGTGGATAAACATAAGTGTCTGTATCTCGAGAATGACTGGGTGTAGGATAACACCCTGGGAATGGAAACACATGAGGATTGCTTGTTCTTGTTCATTTGTGTTTTAAAGTGCAGTGGGCATCTCCATAAAACACAACAGTGCTGATAAGTCATCGCCATGGAGGACCAAGAAGAAAAGATTACCAAATAACAGTCATGGACACAGAGATCCCAAATTCCACAAAATAACCCCCAAATAGCATGTTCCCTTTGTGAATACATTTGATTCAAAGAATGTTTATCCACTAGCTGATAAGTCATAGAAGGGCACAGCCCAGAGAATACGATCCTTAACTAATAAGACTAGTTAGCTTTGTGAATAGTAATAACTCCTTCCAGCTAAGGTTGATATGGACATTACCATCTCTTGGTACCTGACATTTACGATTTATATATTTCAGACCCTTCAACCTTTTCTGGATTACTTTTTAATGTAAACTTAATGTCTGATGAGCAGGAAGCATTTTCTAATACAAGAGCTTGAAAGTCAGTTCTGACTGTTTGAAAACAGCATGATTTTCAGTAAAAAGCTATCTCTGAACATTTGTCTACTCGTTTGCCAATATTCAATGCTAAGAAGGCAACATGTACACCAGAGGTGCTCAATAAATATTCATACTTACTTGGTGCTGTTTCCCCTGCTGTTTTCCATACCTGCAATGGCAGGAACCCTGATTACCAAGGACGTAAAGCACATGACTCATTCTTGATTCTTGCCTAGCCAGTCTTCCTTTCCTGGTTCAACCAGTACAACAAAAATAACTGTAAAATATTCAAACAGAAGGAGTCTAGTGAAGAGCGTTGGCTTATATGTGCCGGAACAGCTCTAACACGCAGCTGGAGTTAGGGAGGCAACTGAAAGTCATTACTACCCCAATGGCTAGAGAGATCCAGAAAAAAAAAAGTGGGGTTGCTCAGAACTGTGGTCTCCTAGAACACACTAGAACCACGCAACCATTGCCCACCAGGATTTTAAAATCATGGAACAAATAAACGTAGATATTGCTGTGACTATTTGGGTGAGACATGACATATTTGGGTGAGAAATAAAAACAATGAAATATTCTGTAAGTTTCCTCCTCTTGCTCTCCAGTTCCCAACTGACCATAAGAAAGGACGCCAGGAGAGGAGCAACCTGAATGGTTCTCCCACTCCAGAAGGAAGGAGAGGAGGGCCAGAAATGCATGTGAGGTTCAACAGGAGACTCACGGCCATTTCCTTCCTTCCTTCCTTCCTTCCTTCCTTCCTTCCTTCCTTCCTTCCTTCCTTCCTTCCTTCCTTCCTTCCTTCCTTTTCTCTTCTTGTGCCATTTCCAGTTTCTTCCTTGTCAGGAACCTCCGAGTTACATTGCTGTTCAGAGCTGTGACATCGTGCACAGGGCCTACTCAGGTCTGTATGAGATGGGCTCCTGGAGATCACAGGAGAAGCAGACACACGTTCTTATTCCTGCCTCAGAAACCATCTTGAAAATCACTTGCAAATGAAAAAAGTAATGTTCTCCGAGGGAGTCCCATTGAAGAGATAAACCATTCTCAAGTGTAGGCCCCATGCCCAGGAGTAGATGGCCCATAGAAAACAAACAGCTTTGCAGGTTTTTTGTCTCATAATGTTGAGGCAGAATATTAGCGGGTTTTTGTTTTGTTTTGTTTTGCTTTGCTTTTTTCCCTACCTGCAATATGTATATTGCGTATACAGTATGGCTTCCAGCAGGTTTTTATGGGATTCCGGAATGTGTGAATGTGTGTGTTTCTGCATCTATATGTGTTTCCTGAGCTTTCCCCTGGGCCCTTCTTTAGTATTTGGTTGTTTTGTCACATTCCAATTTGTTTGTTTTTTTTAAAATACATTTTATTTTATTATTATTTCTTAGATATCTGTTTCTAAGAAGAGGCTGAAAGGGTGTAGGTCTGTCTGTATGGGATATGAGGTGAGAGGAACTGGCAGAGTGGAGGGAGGGAATACCATAGAATATATTGTATTAAAAAGTATTTCCAATAAAAGAAAAGAAAAAAACAAGCTATAGTTGTTTGTTACTAGGCAACGGGATGATGGACAGTACAAAATTTAGAAGGAGAACAAAACAGTGTAGGTACATTAAGACTGGATTTTTTTTTACTTTAGGACTGTGTGACTTGCAATTTCAGATCATTTGTATATTATAGAGATATCATTAACCTAGTGAAAATGTGTAACTAAAAATAGATAGATGCACCTCTATAAGATACACAGAGAAATCAATTATTGGCACTGTATGGCAATCCCATATAAAGGATAGTGAGTATATTTATAAAGCTTGTAACAGACTTTTCTATAGACAGAAGTATGCAGGATCCAACTGGTTGTTCCTTTGCTTGGAAGATAAGCAATCTTTATATGCTTAGACTCATGTTTAATTCTAATATTTCTTTATGCCTTGTTAACTTTTATAATGGAATGGATTTCTTTAAATTGACACAACGGAATTGTTTTCGTGAACTCAAATTAAAACTTCCATATGAAGCTTTGGGCTCTAATATCATGGTTCATCAGTGTTCAGAATTCAGTTCAATAGGATATATGGATTTTGCCTCTGGGATAAACCTGATAACACCTTTATGTATAAAGCAAAATTGATTTGAATCATTGAGGTACAAGAGAAAATGGAAAAATTACTGAGTTATCTCTGCCATGAAATTCTGGATGATTAGGTATTTTAAGCCAATCACGCAAGTAAGAACATTATTCTCTTCCCAGCTAGGCCTATAACAATTTAGTGCTTTGAGAAATTAGGGCACAGGCTTAAATGAAACAAAATGCACAATGCCTTTCTTTTG